TTAAGGACCAAGCCAAACGAAACAGACTTGATTTATGCTGTAGCAGACCTAATTAGTATTATATTAGATAACATAGAAAAGGAGAATAAGCATTAATGTTACACAGCGTTTGTACTTTAACCAAATAACTTACAAATTGCAGTAACAACAACTAAAAAAATGATTAACTGAATTTCTTTGTAATAAATTCACTAGAATGTTTAATTTTATTTATTTTTTTACTATTGATAGCGGCTGACGCAAAGTGCAAGTTGAAACAATTACTAAATACATAAAAACATGATTCTAACTTTTACATAGTTTTTTCAACCGAATGTACATGGAGTCGGTGAGGTGACTATAACTGAATTTACTAAGTATATCTACACTAAATGCGGCGAGTGAAAAGTACTCAAGATATGTCTGTGAATTGACGATGTCAGTCTGACTCAGACCGTGGCAAGTCGGAGTGCAAGAATGTTAAGAATAACAATACTTTTGTCCATCGTACAGAGTGCATATTGCATTTGCTTAACATCGAGAAGCACTGAAACGCGTATCTGCAGTTCTTTTCTTTATCCCTAATATTTACTCTTCTCTACCATTAATTACCTATGTAATGTAATGTATGCAATGTAGGGTAAAACGAATAGTTGATAACTCTGACGTCATATACATGTTGAATTGCATTCTATAAATGGTTGTGGCATGCGCACTTTGACCTCGCCCGCGATTATTTTTCATTTACATATTAAGCTAATGATAAACACCGATATATTATTTTACACACGTCGTATTAAGTACGCTATCTAACAAGTCGTTCTTTCCGATGTTGTCCAGTAGACAGACCCCCCCAAATAAGATTTCTTTGCTGAAATGAATACTTCATGAAGTCCCATTTAAGAATCTGACGGGTGCCCAGCAGTCGTGGTTGAACACTTTGCTTAAGAGATACAAAATTGCATTTTAAAATTTAGCTATAAAAATGTTTGTTTCATTTGCTACTTCATATAAGAACCCCACCCCCCACAAAAAGAAGAAAAAATGTATACGAAACTTTATGGTTTTGGTCATTTTTACTGGACTAATGAATCTGCGCATGCTGTAACACGGGCTGTCATTTTTCTTTTTATTAACAGTTTCATCCAATCGCGACACGTTTATATTTGTTATCTTAAAAAAATCACACTACAGTTTCCGTTTATTTTTCCTCTCGATTCCTACATAAAGGGCATGAACTTACTGTTTGGGCACAAAGCTAGCATAAGCTCTCATCCGAAAAATAAACCAAATAAAAAGTTCCAAACCAGTGGTAGGTACTTTCACTTCAAGTCAAACGATAGGGTAAAAATTTACAAAGTTTTGAAAATAGGAAAAGGCAACAGTATACATTATTATCAAAACAAAGTAAAAAGAAGAAAAAAAACTTTTTAAAATTAGAAAGCAGTTGTGGTTAACTCGCTTCCACCAAAATTTAGAAATTAGTTCCCCCTTTTTAAATAAACGATTTAAATGAATAATTTATAAAATTACAACCTTTATTTTGATTATTTGAAAACGGCTTGTTGATTGGATCGATATACCAAACGCGTTAGAGAATTTACTGTCATACTTATAACGCACCCACAGATTAAAGTGCGGGAAAGTTCAAGCTCTACACCACAAATCACGCCCAAAAACTTTTATAAACGAACTATTATTTACTGCACTTTGGTTGTTGTTGTTTGAAATTAAGCACAAAGCTACACAATGGGCGATCTGTGCTCTGCCCACCACGGGTATTGAAACCCGGATTCTAGCGTTATAAGTCCGCAGACATCCCGCTGTGCCACTGGGGTGGCCTACACTTTGGTATCGGTTAGGCTTAGTCCAAAGGTTATAAGCATATGAATGTAAAGCTTATGTCAAAAAATCAAGAAAGAGACGATATTTATATATTAATATAAATCAGATATACGTATACGAAAATATTTGTTAGACACAATCTTATACTTATTTTTTTTTCTTTTTGCTGACGTTACTCATATTGCGAAATGTAAAATTCCCAGTAATTTATCAATTAGCATACCAGTTCCAGACTGATCTTTGTGCAATCTGTTAAAAAAACAGAAAAGCTTACAGAGATTTTGGTTTACCATATCCAGAAAATAATTTAAAAAAGGAAAACTCGGCATAGTTTTACGATACACTTTGGTTGTATATTTCATTAGAATTTCCTTTCACGAATAACCGAAAACAAAAAATGATTAACTCGGTACACGTTATTGTTTATTTGTTTGTTATGGATTTCGCGCAAAGCTACATGAGGCCTACCTGCGCTAGCCCTCCCTAATGTAGCAGAGGGAAGGCAGCTAGTCATCACCACCCACCGCCATCTCTTGGGCTACTCTTTTGCCAACGAATAGTGGGATTGACCATCACATAATAACGCCCCCACAACTGAAAGGGCGATCATGTTTGGTGTGACAGGGATTCGAACCCGCGACCCACAGATTGCGAGTCGAGCGCCCTAACCACCTGGCCATGCCGGGACAAAGGTACACGTTATTTATAAGTTTTTTAAAATCGTTTGTTTTAGAGTAAAGGCACATTATAAAAAAATTAAATTAAATAATTCTTGATATTTATACGAGGTGATCTAGTCCACTGTAAATAAGACGCAATTTATATTTTGTAAAATACTAATAATTAATAGCTGTGAAACGGTTAATTGCGTTGAAATTATAACGTTTTGCATTTCCAACAATTCATTAACTGGGTTTATCGTACATTTTGCATTTTAACATTTCCTGAAAGCTATTCAGACTTGACACCAAACGTTTAAGTAAGTTTGTTTTTCGCTTTTTACGGGCCTGAACATTTCACCATTATTAAGATTAATTGAAACAGTTGAACTCATTGAAGCACCTGTTCCATCCATAAAACCCTTGGATCTCAGAAAAATATGAAACTGATGGCAAATACGTATGAAAGGAACCTTCGGCAACTTCCCACCCCATAAAAATATATATGCTCTTACACTAGTGACTTATTATCCCAAGCTGACAGAACCATCATCTTGCTAATGGGCACGAAGTGGTAGTTTATTTGTTTGTAGTTAAGCACAAAGCTGCACAATGACCTATCTGTTCTCTGCCCACCAAGAGTATCGAAACCTGGTTTCTAGCATTGTAAGGCCGCAGCCATACCGCTGTGCCACTGGAGGGCGAGGTGGTAGAGAGTTATATCCAATTATGACACATGTACCTATTATATCTTCCAAATGGTTTCGTAATTAAAAACATGAATACCTACTGAAGCATAAACTAAAACTGTATGTCATGTGATATATATGCAAATTAGTATCTGACAATGATTCAAGGTTAATACATTTTTTGGCACATTGTTTCCTAATGCTACTTTCTAACTGGTATTTAATTGAAATAATAAAATAAATTACTACCAGTCAATTCAACCTCTTTTTTCAACTGGTCAAAGACTAAGTCATTAAAAATATAAAACAAAGCATTATAAGGGATTTCTAAAAATATTAATAATTACAATTCCATATAAAAAGATAATTCACATCCTCCATTTCAGTGTCTCCAGTAGTTTATTGGGGATTGATTCCACATTTGTTTGCCATTACATTTCCATTACACAAATTAGTTTCTTGAGTCTTCTCATGCATTTCTGAGCAGACCATAAACTATTCTGATGACAAACTTTGAATTTCCTAACATTCCCCAGTTTTATTGTCTTCTGGTGCATTTCTAACCAGACTATTAACTTTTCTGATAACAAACTTTGAATTTCCTAACATTCCCCAGTTTTATTGTCTTCTGGTGCATTTCTAACCAGACTATTAACTTTTCTGATAACAAACTTTGAATTTCCTAACATTCCCCAGTTTTATTGTCTTCTGGTGCATTTCTAACCAGACTATTAACTTTTCTGATAACAAACTTTGAATTTCCTAACATTCCCCAGTTTTATTGTCTTCTGGTGCATTTCTAACCAGACTATTAACTTTTCTGATAACAAACACTGAATTTCCTAACATTCCCCAGTTTTATTGTCTTCTCGTGCATTTCTAACCAGACTATTAACTTTTCTGACATTTCAGTTTTGATAGTGCAACTTCATAATTTCAAATATTAGTTTTATGTTGTATTTTGACTACAACTATCTTATCCTTATATATAAATGAGGCTTGCAAAACAAAAAACAAATTTGTCTGTAGAAAAGTACTGAGGAAAAATCTTTGTGGTTTGCTAATTTCCTTCGTTAATTTTCTTGCTCCCAGATTTTGGTAGCTTATGTTAATGCATCTCTAGACATAGAACAGGATTTTAATTTTAAGATAGCACTTGCCTAACCTCTTGTAGCAAAAAATGTAATAAAAAGTATCTGATATAATTAAAGAAACTAAAAGATATTTATATCCTTTCTCTAATAGTTTAATTATTTGCTTTATATATTCTGTAATTTTTGTCTAAGTCTTTACTATATGGCCAAAGCTGATTGATAACTTCCACTGAGAAAGTAATGATTTTACCTTAAAAAAAATCATTTACTGAATAGTTATTTTTTGATAAGCAGCTAAATGGATCTAATTCTCGGAATTTATATAAATGCCAACTGTAAAAATGCAAAATTGGCTTTTCGCTGCTTAGGAATAACCAAACAAAAGCAAAACACTTTATAATGACGATTTAAAAATGGTTTCTATATTACTATATTACCAAATACCTATTGTATATTATTAGTTTTTGTACAAAGATTAAAAATGACTCTTATATTATATTACTTACCAAAACCTATTGTACATTATTAACTTTTGAAAAAAAGATTATAAATTCCTCCCATATTATTCTATTATCAAAAATCTATTGTATATTATTAGTTTCTGTACAAAGATTAAAAATGACTCCTATATTATTCTATTGCCTACAACCTACAAGCTTCTTCACAAATAGTATTTACATATGAATAGTAAAGAGTTAAGGTATTTACACCAACAGCAACAAGAATTCCAGAGCTTCTCAGGAATATAAATTGTTTATTTTTTGTACTGGTAAGACATTTGCTAAAATCTGCCAGTCCAGTAACACATTTAAATTATTTCAAACTCAACATATTTTCAATTAGATTTTAATAAAATCAATTTAATACTTCCTGGTAGTTTCCTAAGAGTTCTGGTGAACTAGCTTTAGACTATTACAATAATATATTCTGAGCTGATCCTTAATTCTGGTGTCATTATAACAAAAAAAAAAAAAGTTTCTTGTATCTAAGAAAACAAATAATTGTTACAATAAAACAAATACAATCAAAATTCTTCCATAAAACTTAACAAATTGTGGCATTTCAATAGTTCTCAAAGTAATATATTGTATCTCATATTCATAACATGACTTGCATAAAAACACACCCATCTTTATATTCTGTATATCATTACTGCTTCTAACTTTTATTTTTAGGACTTATGTAATGCTGGCATTTGGTAACAGGCAAAGTTATCTACAAAAAATGCCACCACCAAAACTGGGCTTACTAATCTTAGTAGTAATGTTTTTCCCTACTATTTTCATACTTTTCAGTAAACTGTTTATGGAACATACAAAAACAAATAACAAGATAATACTACACAAAATAAATTTTAACATCAACAACTTAAGGAGAAACATTTATATTATTACTAGCTGGTTTATGCACCGGCTTCAAACAGAAAAAAATCAACAGTATTGTCTCTTTTGTTGTTCTTCCTTCATTTGTGAAATTACGAAGTTATTTCAATTACTTGTTATTTCTGCTTCACTGAGCTTTACAGTTTATGATACTTTTTTTTTTCCTCTATTCATTAAAAAATATTAACTATAAATTAAAATACCTTTATACAAACAAAAAACCAACTGTTGAAATACACTAATAACACTATACCTTCTGAACTATATTTAATCTTTTTTCTGACAGCAAAAGAACAAAACAGAAAGTTGTATTTACCGTTACCAAGAAATGACGAACAGCTTCTGGAATGTCACATGTATAACAATTAATTTAAAGAGTTCTGTTAAATGTATGCTAATGTTTATGAATCTGTCAAACTGATGTTCTATCTAATCTCTTTTTTTTTGCTTGTCACTCAGAAACACAAAAATTAAACAGTTTACAAAATACTTTTAACTTATCCATTTTACTAGTTACAGCTGGATAAACTTTGATGGTCTCCGAAAATAGCTGATCCAAAACAGCAGTGCAGCACCACAATACAGTTGCAAGGCAACGGTTGAGGACACAGACATTCTCTTTTTGACTTTCAATTCTTCTGAGCACTTCTATGTGGACGTTTGCCTTTTACAACAACTTGTCTGTTTTTTATAACACCTTTCTTTTTTTATTGCTCTGAAAGAATATTTTCTACATAAATACATATATATAAGAATAACAGGTGAGACAACTAGTTACATAGTTAATATGTAGGCATGTATATATTAACACTACTTGAAAATTACTGCCTATATCTCAAAATGGTTGACTGGTAGGAGCTTCTATAGCGAACGTGCAATATTTTGATAAATTATGAGTCCTTCTTTACATAATCAATTCATAAATACTATTATGTATTTAGTATTAGATAGCACTTTCATAAAACTTTATCTACATATCTGTCTAATACAAACCAATTATATTACACTTATAAGTATATCGATAAATGTTTTGGATGTATGACAGAACAGACAGTGGTTGGATTGGCTCGCTGGATGTATGACAGAACAGACAGTGGTTGGATTGGCTCGCTGGATGTATGACAGAACAGACAGTGGTGGGAATGGCTAGCTGGATGTATGACAGAACAGACAGTGGTGGGATTGGCTAGTTGGATGTATGACAGAACAG